GCACAAAATAGCAGTGTCTCTACAGCTCTCTAGGGGAAAATAATAGCATTCAGAAATCCCAGTTCAACTATGGCATGCAGAAAGCATGCTACATTCAGAGCTATTTCCATCATCTCCATAATAACACAGCCTTGTTTACTTCGGTTCATCAAGTACTTATCGTAGCATACGCCTCTCCTGCCCAAAGACATCTAAACCAGCTTCACACACATTCTTCCTCCTCAGAAATAAGCCTTTTGAACAGCCAAGTGATGAATGATTTCCCCCTCCTCCAAACCAGCCAGCGAATAATAATATGGGTTAAGATTCTTACAACTTGTGGAGGGGAAAACTGCCGCTTTACCAGAAATCAAAAGAAGGGAAAGGGGATGTGTGAAGCTGGGGTCATAAAAATTTAGATCCAGAAAGCAATGAGTATAATTTTACAACAGGGAGCAGAAACAACAATTAAAGCCTCTCCAAATTGCACAGAAGAAAAGAGCATGCTGCCAGCGCTTGATAATGCAGATGACAGAGAAATGGATTGGGGGGTGGAACTGAAATGCTTAGTGTTATAGTCAACTGTGTCTCCATTCTGGGAGGTACCTGCTTGCTAGAAGTGCCCACCAAGCAAATGGGAGTGGGAGGGTCTGGGTCATTCTCCATTTGAACCCATCCCTGTTCACATTCATGCCCAGAGAGTTATTGATTTAATTGTTAAAACAGCAACATTAGAGGGTGGAGAACATCCAGCAGATCCCTGGGAGGTCACCAGGTGCTGGGGCCAGCATCAGTCTGGTGGCCTGAGACCTATTCCCTTGCACTGAGTGGTGAAGAAGCTCCATTTAGCCTGTGGGACTGGATCAACACAGCAGAGCCAGACTCTCCAATCTTTGCCCCAGAGTGTCCGAAGAGTCCCTTTGGTCCATGCTAACTGGTACCCAGAGCAGGACTGGTCCCCGGGGATCTGTGAAGAATGGTTTCAGGTACTGCCAAGCCACCTGCCACAGACAGAGCTTGGATGCAAATGCAATTTAATTTTTTTTTTTTTAAATCCCTCCCCTCTACCCCCGAATAACTTTAAAATCAAAGCGCAGAAGGACTCACCCCAGGCGAGGAGCATCCCCAGGGCCTGGCATAGCAGCAGCAGCAGCTTCATGGTGCTGGGAGTCCTGGTCCTTCACTTGCACCTGGCTCCTCCGGCTGCCCCCAGGGCTGTGCCCCGTCCGCCTGCTGCAGCACCCTCTCCTCCCTGCATCTCCCCTGCCAAGCACTCCCCCAGCCACGGAGCCGCAACTTTCCCCCCTCGGCCTCCTCCCTCTACCCCCTACTTCCCAGCTCTCTAGGGTGAAGGATTGGGGAGAGGGGAAGGAGATTGTAATTGGTCGATCACTGCACAAACGGATCCAGCCTGGAGCCGGCAAGCAGCAGCCTGAGCATCTGACCTGAGCATCCAATGCAGCCCAGCGC